AGCAAACTCAACGGCATTTAAAAGAGGAAGACTTATACTTTAAAATACCACTTTACTTTTTTATGAAGAGCAAAATCTTCGTAGCTACATAACCTCAAAAATGGGCAAAAACAGCGTTTTTTGCACTTTTAGGTTTACTTTTTTATGAAGAGCAAAATCTGCGTAGCTACATAACCTCAAAAATGGGCAAAAACAGCGTTTTTGCACTTTTAGGTTAGGATATCTCAAAATCCTAACGTGATAGAGCAATTTAAACCCCGGATTCGGATTCTACGCAAAAAATTACTTCGAAAATGACCCTACACTTTCCTAGAACAAAACGTTGTTGACCTGTGTAATAATTGATTAGCGCTTACACATATGTTAAAAAGTGTTTGGCCGAACTTCTCCAGCGATTTGTGACGTGCGCCTTGATGTTGTCACACAAAGGGGAGGAACCTATAGTTTTACGCCGACTCCGCACGGCGATTGCAATTTTATGAGAAGCTGTTTTTTCATGGCAAAAATACACTCGGAGGTTTGCCATTGCCTGCCGAGGGGCGACCGCTATTATTTCTATTAATATTTCTTTCTATTTATTAGTGCGTTTTGACAACATCATTGCGAATGCCCAGTTTGTAAAGGTATTTAGGTTAAAATCATATCGTCGTTTAAGCTACAAAATCGCGTATCGGCGTTCTGCAAAACCGCGTAACTGACATTTTTGCCAAAAATTGGATTTGCTTACCGAAGCTCTTGGCTCAAGCCTTATCTATTCGTCCTGAAATGTACTAGCCAGAAACGCGATTGCTTTATAAAAGAGAGATCAATTTTGAGGTAGGAATGTTTTTTACTCTCTGTAAAATATTTTATGCAACCTCAAATACGCGGTTTTGTACTTTAAACGACAATATATTCTTAATATCAAGATATATAGTCGCGGCACCTGCAACGTAAACTCAAAAATATTTAATTTAAAATCATAATGCAAAAAAGAAAATGGCGGTATGGCCATTTCGGGAACAGTAATTTCGGCAACGTTCCCGGACCACGGCGAGCAAGTCAAACACACTTTAAATATTATGTTTTAATTAAATTTGAGATTTTTCGGTAAAAAACGTTCCCGAAATACATAACTTTTTAGCCCCTCATTCAGTACGTTTCGCGATAAATTAAAAAATATGGTCAGTTCGTGCTCTACCCAGTCATAAACTAAATTGACGACGACATAATTCAAGTCGTAACAGTGTAAAATCAATTTAATAATAAATATAAAATGTTTGCTTTTACCGCAACTAAATTCTCCACCTCCATGATTTTGACCCATATACGATTTTTAACTTAAATCGCCTCCTCGAAATCTTATCGGATCAGTCTAATACTTTACATTTCTCTGTCTATACATATTAAAACGAATAATAAGTATATTACAACAAATAATTTAAGTATTGAAAATATGTATATAAGCAGCATTTGTTAACGAATTTTCATTATTAAAAATAGATGAAGAGACTGGTTGTTCTGTAAGTGATTATACCATTTCGATACGTCGGCGGTGGAATTATGAAAACAATTGCGCTGCAATTGTTTGCTACGTGTCGACAGGTAAGCTTAGTAATATAAAATGCATTGAAATAAAAAAAATTAAAAAAAATTTGCTGTACAGGCTTGGCATCATCAACCACACAATTGACTCAATTAAGCGAGGATATACTAAGCAATCATTGCCGACTTGCACAAATCCTTAGTGCCGAAAATCTCGACGAAATATTAACATACACAGTTAACCGATTGCTCAAAGATTATCCTATCGCGAAACGAATAACAGACTCAAAGGAATCGGACCATATTCGAGAAACAGACGATACTACCCATTCGAATTCTGCAACAAACAACAGCAACTTAAATATCACATGCTTAGGTGGGGATAATTTAACTGCCTATTACATACCAGCAATTCACCTGAAAGTGTTCTACCAAGTAACTGCTGCACCGTCCGTGGAATTGCTGCTGAATGCACTTTATGATTTTCGGCTTAAATGCCAGGAGACCGCCAACATTGTATACACCGTTTTGCCCGCCTGTAGTTTACACAATTTTAGTACTTTCTTATCTATATGCGGTGTACGCCATGAATAAATACGAATTACGACGCCACAAGACTTATTGTAATATTACATTTTATCTACATATGTACACTTAGTTAAAAAACCAACTTATGCCATCGAACTAAATATTATTCTTTTTTTTTTCAAAAAAGAACGTACACTGCAGCTCTACTTATATTTTTTGTTATAATATTAATGTATGTTTCCGACTTCCTACGAAGCAATATGGCAATGAAATAATGAATGTTAATTTTTAACACTTTTTTAAATACTTACATACTATGTATTCTTTATTGAACGGTTTGCAGTAATATAACACGGTGCACAGTGGGGCAAAAGAGGTTGCTGTGGACAAATGAGTTTTGAGAGCCCAAATATGAACCGATTTCAAGTTTCTTTTCTTTAAATAAGATATAATTAAATTTCGTGTCGATCTATCCGTGGCGATTTTTTTTAGGAAAGGCCCTAGTTTTATTTATTTATGTTGAAAAATGAAAGAAACAAAATTTTTACGTTTGAATGCTTCCAATTTTTTGGAAAATACTTGAAATTGATTTCAAATGCTTGGAATTATTTGAAAAATTATTCATAAACATTTTTCCATAGGACACATTTAATTAAAAAATGTATTTCATTTGTTATCTATACTATTATATATTTTGAAAGCCGTTTTTTTTTTTTTGGTTTTTTTCTGTTCGAAAAACTCGAGAACAGCTGTACCGATATATTAGAAATTTTAGACATCGACTTCAGACTATCCAAGGATGATAATAGATGAAAAGCAATTTCGATATATCAAGGGGACGTGGCACCTCCCATACAAACTGAAGTTGTCACACAACATATCTCTGGAAGTATTCATCGTAGAGTGATGCAACTTAGTACAGAAACATATAATATCAACGCCAAACTTATGGAAAAAAATGTGAGTTATTGAAAAAGGGCGCGTGGCACCTCCCATACACACTGAATTTCTCGCACCACATATACATTCTAATGTGAGAAATTCGGTTTGTATGGAAGGTGCCACGGCCCCTTTTTCAATAACTCCCACTTTTTCCATGAGTTTGGCGTTGATATTATATATCTCTATACTAAGTTGCAGCACTCTACGATGAATACTTCCAGAGATATGTTGTGTGCAAACTTTAGTTTGTATGGGAGGTGCCACGCCCCTTGATATATCGAAATTATTATTATTCTATTATCATCCTTTAAGGGTCTAGAGTCGATGTCCAAAGTTTCAAAAATATTGGTACAGGTTCTCGAGTTTTTCAATTAGAAAAAAACGGCTTTCAAAATATATGTATATCAGTATAGATGGCAAATTAAAAATATTTTTTAATTAAATGTTTCCTTTGGATAAATGTTTATGAATAGTTTTTTAAATAATTGCAGGCATTTGAAATTAATTTCAAGTATTTTCCAAAAAATTGGAAGCATTCCGACGTACACATTTTTTTTCTTTCATTTTTCAACATAAATAAATAAAAAACTAGATTTTTTCTAAAAAATCGACACGGATAGATCGACCAGAAATTTAATTATCTCTTATCTCTTTTTTGCCCCACTGGGCTGTGCTACAAAAAAAAATGGTTACATGTATTTTTTATGTCACGCAGTAGAGGTGGTAGACAGGTCTAAAAAATAAATGTAGCATTAGCAGAATTTCAAATACACCTCCAAATTATTAGCTTAACATCAAAAACTGAAAATCGGGATGCTGGGTCAAAACACCGGTCATGATTTGGACAGTTTTCAAAGGATTCTCATAATTTTATGTTGGTTGAAAAGCGGAAGGTTGTATCTTTCCACTGCTGTTACGAAATTTAAGTTAAGTTGATAACCATTGACTCCGTGAACCAAAAAGCTTGCGAAAAATCCGAAAAAATAGTAATGGTGACCCAAGTAACTTAAGGTTTTAGGGGTGGATTTGAAATTCTGCTAATGCCAAAATTATTTTTTAGGCCTGCTCTACTACCTCTACTACACGGCATAAAAAGTGCATGCAAACATTTTTTTTGTTAGCAACGTGTAATTTGCGAAATTTTCCGACAATAAGTTTAAAATTTTATCGATAGTGTATGCAGTATAAAGTTCCATACTAAAAATTAACTTTAACTTTCAATTGTTTAACTGAACTGATTTCAAATTGATTACAGAAAAGATCAAACATTATGTAGAGGGATTTATTTCGGTTGCTTCGGTTAGCATAAAATAATTTTTGTACGATTTATTAAAATAAATAAAATGTTGAATGTGCTAAAATTGTCTTAATAAATATTTAACAAATTAAGAAATGTTATTTTAACAAAAACGTGTCACTCCTTAAACTATTTTAATTTTTTCTCAAATATACATACTTTAAAGCTATACTAAAATACTAAACAAAAAACTTGGAATCATAACTCGCAGGTTAAAATATACGTATATGTCTTACTACGATTTAAAAGCAGAGACCCAAAATAATTATTACCCTAATATTTGAGATCAAAAACGTTTTGTTTTAAACGAAATTTTTTTTGTCTTTGTATAATAATTATTTGCGAGAAATATCTTTTTTCGTCTCGTGGGATGATTATTTTCAGATGGAAATTATTTACGTCTTTTCATAATAATTATATGGGATTTTTATTTTTCTCGTCTCTCGGGATGTTTATTTCAAGACGAATATTATTTACGTCTTCTCATAATAATTATGTGGGACTTTTATTTTTTTCATCTCGCGGGACGTTTATATCAAGACGGAAAGGATTTACGTCTTGTCATAATAATTATGTGGGACTTTTATTTTTCTCGTCTCTCGTGGCGTTTATTTCAAGACGAAAATGATTTACGTCCCACGTTTTCTCTTAATAGAAGCGGTACATGTTAAATATTTAACTCGTCAAATCTCCGAACTCAATTAAGAAGTTTCATTCTGTTATTTATAATTATTAGGAGAAGACGTTAATCATTTCCGTCTTAAAATATACGTCCCGAGAGACGAAAAAAAATAAAAATCCCATATAATTATCATGAGAAGACGTAAATCATGTTCGTATTGAAATAAACGTCCCGAGAGACGAAAAAAAATAAAAATCCCATATAATTATTATGAAAAGACGTAAATAATTTCCGTCTTGAAATAAACGTCCCGCGACACGAAAAAAAAATAAAACTCCCATATAACTATTATGAGATGACGAAAATAATTTAAATTTTAAAATAATCGTCTCGCGAGACGAAAACAACTTTTCCGTTGTTCAGTAATTATAGAGCAATATTTAATTTTATTTCTTATAATCGTTATGGTCTCTGTTTAAAACACTTCACTATTAATTGACTGCTCGGTTAATTGTTAAAAGCGCAAATTAATAATTGAAATTTTGTGTTTTGCGTCCTTGCGTATTTAGCATTGCTACATAAACCAAAACAGTCAGTCATGTAATAGTTATACTTAACCTCACAAAAAACTACAAAGAACGTAAATCTATAAGAAAAGACAACACGTTATACGTTTGTAGTTGGATGAAAAGAGAAGGCACGCCCCTGATGTTTACACTCGCTACAATTATAACGTGTTGTCTCTTCTTATAGATTTACGTTCTTTGAAAACTATAAAAATAGTTATTCTCGTTTTTTAGTGAATAAATACACAAAACGTTTATGAGTGGAAAAATTTAAAATTATGATGAAATATACAAAGAATAACTGCTAAAAGCGATAAAAGTGAATTATTATTCCCAATGCATATATGTTTGTATATATGCACATACATTCAGTAAGTAAATATTTATTCAATAGTCCGAAATCATCATGTTCTGCCGCGATTTCAAATATCCCATTCTCACAGAATATTTTTAATAGAAAATTAATAATATAAATAATATATATACATATATACATATACATATAGTATATGAAATCAATGTCATACTCTTGGAGAAAAGGGGGCTACTGAAAATGGGTGCGGGGCGCCTTCCAAACATACTGAAACTTTCAGCTATCTTACTCTTTTGTACGTTTGTTTCTCCTAAAAGGCTTGTCCGTCGATCGTTTGACTTCAAAATTTGACCCGCCAGGTGGCGTTGGAGTCGGGGTATTGCTAGAAATCGTATATATGATCCAATTTGGCCCATATTCGAGATATAACACAATAAGTTTTCAAATCTTACAAACTACCATTAAATTTAAAAATTAGACAAAATATCCCTGTGTTTTAGATATCGAAATGCGTAGTGAAAAGATCTAGGTACGGTATGTAAATCGCGATTCGGTAATACCCTTCAAAATGCTTCCGAGTGATTTGAATCTGCTGTGTTTCGTTACCTTGTATGAGCGAAACTAAACGATACCGAAACTTTTGCTATTGTTTGCGTTCTCTGATGATATTCATTGAATTATTTTGCCAAACCATAACTAAATAGAGGAGCGAAGGGTTGTTTTTGTTTTTGTAGCGGTTACCAAACCCCGCTCGGGTCGGTTCATCCATCAACGTTGTCGGCTGTTTCAGCTAAAGGGAGGCCCAGGAAGTGCACAACTTCAACAGGATCTGTCCATAGGGACAGAAGCGTTAGCTGTGTGGGGTTCTGGGGGCATGCGAAGAGTCATGTGGCGACTCTCCGCATGCGTGACATTGGTTGGGCACATCCTCGTTTATTCTGCTCAGGTATGAGTTCGGCCTGCTACAATAGCCAGAGCGAAGTTGGGCTATTGTGGTGCGGGTCTCCCGAGGCAGACAAAGTTCTGTCCCGTCCACGTCAGATAGTTGTGTGCCCAGAAAGCCTTTACAGGTCGAGAGTCTACGTAACTTTAGACCGACTCCCGTGAATGCCGTTCAGGGCCTGTCTGTAAGCAATTGGGTCCAGCGGTTGTTTGATGAGCCTCTGGACTTCGTCCGTCAGTTCGTAGAGATGCCTCCTGACATGCCTTGGCGAGGGCTCTTCTGCAAGCAGCTGTCTATTTGGATGATCACGTCTGTGGCTCTCTACCAGAAGCTGCAGAGCATTTTGTTATGCTCCTTGATTGGGAGCATTTGGGCCTCGCCGTGAAGATAGTGTTGGGGCGACATCAGAAGGCATGCCGTCGCTGTCCGGAGTGCAATGTTCCGGCAGATCTGTAGCTTCATCCACTGTGCCCTGCCAGTCCCCGGCGATCACAC